GAAATATACATTAGAAACCTTAAGAGTAATTACTGCCCCCACAGGAAAATACACGAGACTACAGATTGGGCGTCAGAAGGTGTTAAACAGAGTCAAGCGAACGCCATTGAAACGCCAATCGAACGCAGCTACAAAACGCAGGAAAAACACATATGGCGTTCAGATGGCGTTCATTTTGAACGTCCGTGTGGACGAGGCCTAACACGCTAAATAATGCATGAAAACAGTGCACGTGTAACACTTATGAACCTATTTTGGGTCCACTTAGTAGTGCTACTAGCCAGTTCTATGTTCGATGGGAGTGGTGGGGGAAAAGATAATGACACCTCAAAATTTAGAACAGCAACATTTAGTAAATATTAATTGGATACATTTACATACATTTACATTTAAATGGAAAAAGTAAATCTACCTCTTTATAAAGTATGGATTTAAATATTGTTTGTTTTGGGTTCTGAGTCCAGTGGTTAAATTAGTCATTCCTAGTCAATCCTAAATCTAAATCTAGTTATATCCTAGTTCAGTTTTGCTAATTTTTGACTGCGCACAGATCGTATAAAACAATTATTGTGTATCTATTTATAATCACCTAATAAGTCATTATTTAAATTCTCTAACCAGTATCCTTAGCACCTATTTATCTTTCCTTTAAATCAGTAACCTCCCCCACATATCAAACTCAAAATTCAACACGTATAAAGGGAAGAAAAAAAATCACATTGTACACCATCCAAGGGTTGATATACTGTTCAATTCAGGCATAACAATGTCCAAAGGTTAATCTACAGTTCAATTCAGTCCATCATATTCTAACTGCACACGTTGTAAGAAATTCAAAGTTCCCTCTACTCATCCTTCACCGTTGCTCGGTGGGTCTAGCTCGCCATCCTGCTATGAGCTCCGTTCGGTGGGTCCCTGTTCGGCAAAGCACATGCGGTAATATACCGCGGTCAGGAACCTCCGTTCCAAATCGTCAGAAGTGTCAATACTGCGCAGAAAAAAAAACAAATTATCGTGGTTTAAAACATTTCTTCCATCTTTCTTTTCCTTTAGCTAATTAAAAAAAAAAACCTTCTTACATCACATAAGCTGGCTGTAAAATCTAATTTATCAAGTTTTCTTTTTACCGTATTCTAAATCCTATGGCAGCACTCGCCTCAACCGCTTCTAGAGAAAAACAACCCGCGCTCTCCACGTTACTTCGTGACATCACCTCACAATCTGCATACAATGGTCTTTTTTCTTATAGAGATAAATTGTCGTTTATATATTATATTGCGTGGCCACGAATTATAACGAGATTTCCGAATGGCTGGAAACACATGGACAACTTCGAGAGTGGATTAAAGTAAGTATGATTTTATAAAGAAATTATATAAATATTTTTAATTTATAACATAATTGTGAGAAGACACATGTTAACTTCCTAAGGGCGTTATCGACAAATGCATTAGACAAGCGTATCCCGGAAATCTAACTCGTTCCAACGCTTCAAGAAAGAATTATTCATGTTAATTATCTTGTGGCCACACAATATAGGCCTATATTTTTTCTCCTATGTCACCAGAGGGGCTCCGTAGTACGGTTAATAAACTGCAAATTGTGTTTTTGTTTCTATTTGACCAATTTATAAGTTATTGTTGTGTAATGGATTTACTGACCTATTGTCATGTGGGTTACACATGGCCATTAGAGCACAAAGCATTCGTTAGTGTAGTATGTATTTTTTGAGATTGAGCTTATACAAGGGAAAATGGTTCTTGGTTCAAATCGTAACAGTCCAGCAACGGTGTCGAGGTATTTTTTTATCGCGATATCGCGATATTACGTTTATCGTTACATCCCTACCTAATAGTAGGAGATGCAGTGGTACCTCAGAACTCGAATTTGATCTGTTCAGAACTCCGGATCGAATCGTAAAAAGTACGAGTTCTGATCGAATTTTTCCCATAAGAAAAAATGGAAAACCAATTAATTGGTTCCCAGCCCCCCAAAATTACACCTAAATATGTTTTTTTTTTTTTTTTTTTTTTTTTTAGCATTTAAACATAAAATGTACAATTTTTTTTCGAACAGGTTGGTTCAGCTTTTAAGAAATTCGAGTTCTAATGAGTTCGAGAACTGAGGTACCACTGTATATGGCTAAGACAGTCTTGACCAAGCAAGTGTCTGAGCTGCTTCATAATTGTGCTTGAATCGCTAAATCAGATAAGACAATGTATACAGAAACATGTTTACATTCTCCTAAAAGAGGCAGATGTGTACAGAAATGGGCCAAATAGCAGGATGGGCAGCAGTGATGGAGAAGCCCCACCCCCCCAAGGAAGGTAACTCTTGAAAGAGATCAAGAGATGATTGTATTTAGAAGATTGGCCCTGTTGCCACAACACTAACCAAGGCACCATCTCTGATGTTCATCAACCTCCATGCAATACACTTCCATAGTGAACAACAACCCACTCACCCCCCCCCCCCCCCCCCCCCCCCCCCCCCACACACACACACACACACACCCACACAAAGCATTTAAAGAACTGTCAGTGATTATTTGAATAATTATATAATTATTCAGATCTTAAACTGATATATCCCACTTTAATTATATGGATTATATCCAATCACTGTATGTTAATGCCTCAGCAGATAGCAAAATGGCCTCACACTTCTAAGTCTGTGAAGTCACTGCATCTTTGGCTGTGCAGTGCTGAATGCAGCATTGTGTGGGATTTGGCTGAGCCCCATTTCAAACATGTTGAAGTTTCAGTTCCAGTTTGGGTGTCTGTTTTTCTTCCATCATTTAAGCTAAAGGAATGGGTTGGAATGAAACACAACAGAAAAATCCGGCACTAAATGCAAACCCTCTAACAGGCAAATTACTTTGGATGTTTACTGAAAAAGTTCTGTTCATGAATCCATTTTCCATAACTAGGAAGTGCAGGGCATGTAGTAAGCAACAGTGGAAGCAATGAATTTATCAGCCTCAATATTAAACCTAACCTTATAATAACCTTACAGTATATTACCTTCCCAGGACCTTGACCACAATAAGTTGGAAGACCAATGGATGCAAGTTTTGGGACATTTTGGAAAGTTAACTTAGCTGTTGGATCTCAAATAAGTTTGAGTCCCATCTATCCATCTACTAACCTCTTCTCCTGATGAAGGTTTCAGGAAAGTTTGAGCTTAGATGTGTAATTCTGATGTTCCACTTATTTGATAATAAACTGTGTTTATGAAATATTGATTGTGGTAAAAGCAAGAGAGAAAAAAATAAAATTTAATTTGCCAATCCACAATTAACAGAAATAAAATGTATTAATTTTGTACCTTAACTAAATGTTATGTTATACTGTGCCAGGAGATTTGTATTTGTAGTTGCAGTATTCTATAGAGCAGTAGTCTATAATGACCAGCAGATGGTGCTCAATACATTGTTTGATTGTCATGAGTGTTCAAACATGTGCCCTTATTATTTTTTCAGTAGTAGTATGTATAAATGGGAGGGGCATTAGCACTGTGATCGCCCCTCTCCAGTTGTGACTTACGTTCCCCTCTATGTGTGTGTTCATTTGGATGTCGTCTTGCAGTATGAAAACACGCGGTTAGGTAAATCTCAGACTACGAGTCAAGACCGTCAAGTCCGTGTCCTGTGATAGACTGATATCTGCTCCGAGGTGAGCCCCGCATTATGAATGGTTCTTCCTTTGATGGGCACCAGACCTGCTGCAACCCAACCTTGTATAACTGGAAAAAAGAGGGATTTAAAGAGTAGCTATATGTGGCCCATTTCAATCTTTTCCTCGTAAAAAGGCATTTGTATCAATACGAACAACTGACAATGAAACCAAGGGAATGGGTAGGAATGAATACCAACGGCTACATGACTTGGTGGAAACTGAGCTTAAATAAACCAACATCATGCTATTCTACAAATAGGACAGCAGGTGGCAGAAGATACTGGCAAACCTCACACAGACTAATCTTCTTTCTGTAATCCTTTTTATCCAAAGAATCATAAAATGAATGAGCAGCTAAGAAAATGGTAAAACCCAACCAATTTGTAGGACTAGTGAGGCTTTTTGTCAGGGTGCATATAAAAATCTTCTCAGAATCAGAGGACTTTCATGGTTTATACAGTGTAATAACTGCTATGTATACAATTTGCATGTGCCACAATAATAAACTTTAAGAATGTATTTTACCAAAATATACTTGAAATTACTTAGAACCATTAAAATAATACCACAATATAATGGTATGATGATAATGAATCATGAATGGAAAAGGTAAAAATATGGAATACTATATTAGCAATTCCAAATTGTTCAAAAGCAGTATTATTTTTCATTTTTCAAATCAGAAATAACAATGCAATCCATGTCATGTGTGGAAAACATGAAAGAAAAAGATATGATGTTTTATATGTTCAGAACAATTGTGATTCTGTGTGTGTGAGGGTGAGAGGATGAGTCACAGAGAGCATCTCTGTGAGTAAAGGTGGACAGTTAGTACGTTTACATTCATACTAAGAAAATAGAATTATTGTGATAGTCCAACTAAAACCAGACTTTTAAAGTACATGTAAACATTTTAGTCCGACTGAAATCGCACTAACTCGAAATTCTCAAAGTCAGACTAAGACACCCATATAATGCGATTGGGAGTCGATGTACTCCTGCATGTTCAATTGGACTCAAAGTGGCGTAGACACTCTGCGCATGCTCCACAGCCGTCCCCCCACCCCGGGCTTTGAATTGGAAGCCACAGAAGAATACGGCACACAGAAGAAGCACAGAGCATAGCAGAGGACATACAGCATGTATGAAATGTACAGCACTCTAAAGCTGTCCATTTCACTGCTCAACTAAAAGGCGCTTTTCCACCACACCATGTACTATACTTTTGGTACTTCAAGAAGGTACCAAAAGTACGGTACTTCAAGTACTTTCAACTGGTACTGGTGCCAAATGACATTACAACGTGAGGCGAGGTATTTTGTACTGAATTCAAAACATGGCTGTAGTATATTATAGGGCTGGAGGATGTGCAATATTAATACTGGTGCTGCATGTTTTGCACATGCAATTCTTACATCACTGCTCAGCTAGATTAAGGTCAGGCTTTTTCTTACTTTCATTCTGGATGGACATTATAGCGCTGAGAGTTTAAATCTCCCTAAAACATTTATACTGTGGCACAGGGAAAAACACCTAACTAGCTTTGCAATTTTAATGATCATTCATTTTCAAGATTATCTAGTATATGTTTCAAAATCAGTTTAAAGTTTACCTTCTCTGCTTTTGCATGAGCGCTGCATGCGTTCTCCGAGACAATCATAATCATTTTCATCTTTGCTGTTTAAATCACTCCTAGACGGGTTTGTGAGAAACTTATATTGAACTCCTTTTTGTTTCATGAATACCCCTGTATTTATTACAAAAAATGTCCAATAGCATGCTGTCATAATATATTATACAAAATGCTTTATTTCTTGTAATGCTATCCTCACCTTGTTGTATCAGTTCTTCTGACCAGATCACAAATGAAGCTTGTCCACACAGACATTATTATTCATTTGTCCACACAGACATTATTATTAATGTTATTTTTTTAAATGTCTGTGACGTAATGGGTCAACCGGAAAAAGCCCAATACTAACAAGCTGAAAGGAGCCATATCGCCACCTATCGTAACGGAGTCAGACATACTTCAGTCAATAAATTGATTCCATCGTGCATTTACCCTGTGACAAGGACAGTAGTCTGATTAAATGACGTAGTCGAGCTATAACCGTAGCTTATCTGGGCATGTAAACATACTGACTGTGATTCTGTGTGTGTCTGAGGGTGACAGAATGAGCCACAGACTGTCTCAGAGCATCTCTGTGAGGAAAGCTGGGCACTGTGATTCTGGGTGTGTTATTCTGTGATGGTGGTGGGAAGAGACAGGTATGCTTGTGGCTGGGAGGGGGGGGGGGGGTCACGTTGGAGTGGTGTGAATGGGGGAGGCGATGAGGGGTGCAACAAGCCCTAGAGGAGTCTTTTTATTGTCCATCCTGAGTAGAAAAATAGGCTCCACACAAGCAGCCGGAATTCCTTAAGCACTTGACCTAATTCATTGTTCTGTTGTTTACGCTCATCTGACATTAATTGTTTAGTTGATTTTAAAAAATCCTATACTTAATCTCTGAAAATTGCATGTTTTGTTCTTGTTTATCTTCCAAAGCAGTTCATACATTAGATATTTACAGCATGTCACATTACCAATAAGGATACATACATGAATTAAAAAATGGCGAGAGGCTGATAATACAAAGCCATATACCAATCACTTAATCACATTTTTTAAAAGCTCACTATTTCAAATACGTACCTGATGTTGATTCTGATGTGTATGAAGTACAAAAAGCTATTCTAACATTGTTTCTCTGATAGCTTTTCCTCTTTACCTTCCTTCTGGTCTCTCTTACTTGCTTTTCCTTTCTTTTCAACTAAACCAAGAAGCAGTACAGATAATTACAATTTCACAACCGGTTGCCAGATCATTACCAGTTAATCCCCTATTTCATCTTATGAGTCACGCATCTGATTTAACATATTGTGGGGCGGAATGGGATTTTTTATGGTAGTGTCAGTTGCTTGAGCAATTGGCTGATGAATTGGTGTCACTGGTTAGAAAGCAGTTCAGCGTGGAGAGTTTAGAAGCACAAACATGCTGTACAAAAGTACTATATAAAAAGAATGACAATCAAACTTGTCTAGTAATCAATTTTATGCAAAAACCAGGTCCTCACAGTGTTTTGATTCATGACTTATTTTTCCAGTGGTTTAATTGTTCTGATAGAAAAAAAAAACCTTGGAGGATATTTTTACAAGCAAGTTTTAAAATGTGATTTGGAAAGTTGATAGGATCACAGAACACCAGCTTCTCCAAGATGGTGAGGATGATGAGGAAATGCACAATCTCCCTTATCTGAGCTGCTGTGAAAATGTTTGTGCAGGTGATAGAGACATTGTATTGTTTAAAATGTTTATGACGAACTAATGGGATAATCAAGGTTTGATGATTTTGAGGGGCTGTTAAATCAATGGTGCGTGAATCCGACACTCTGTGATCCCTGTTCTTTTCTTGTCTGAGTATCACACTTCCTGTGTTTCTCTTTTTTGCCAGCAATAAGGGGATTAAGTCTTGAATAGCCACTTGGGTGTTCATCTGTCATGACAGATCAATGAGGCCAATTCATGGTCCCAGTGGCCTTTTCAGAGCAGCCAGAGATGGGATGGAACAGCCAGTGGCTGCAAATTTGCCAAGAACAAGAAAGTCCTTAAACTGAAGGTCTCAACTACTGGGGGTCAGAGTTTCATGACCTGAACCCAAAGTCACTGTCTCACTTTGACATCTTATCAAATTTACACATGGGCTGGGGGCTCATATCCTGCCCTGTTGTGTGTATGGAGTGAGCACACTCTTTCTGTGTGCATGGAGTGTGCACACTCTCCTTGTGTGCCTGGAATGTGCATGCTCTCTCCGTGTCTGTGATGGGTGCACACCCTCCCACTGTGTGTGTGGAGTGTGCATGCTCTCCATGTTTCTGTGGAGTGTGCACGCTCTCCATGTTTCTGTGGAGTGTGCACACTCTCCCTGTGTCTGTGTGAAGTGTGCACGCTCTCCATGTTTCTGTGGAGTGTGCACGCTCTCCCTGTGTCTGTGTGGAGTGTGCACGCTCTCCCTGTGTCTGTGTGGAGTGTGCACGCTCTCCCTGTGTCTGTGTGGAGTGTGCATGCTCTTCACGTATCTATGGAGTGTGCACAGTCTCCATGTGTGTATGTAGTTCAAAGACATGCTGTTAGTGAATCGGTATATCTAAAAAGCTTGTAGTATGTAAATGTTTATCTGCCCTGTGATGGACTGGTGCCCCATGTCCCCTACCTTGTACCCCAACTCTGTACGAGGTAAGGGGGCTGGAAGATAGATGAATAGATGGATGGATGGATGGATGGATATACCTGTACATGTCCAGAATTTTTTATTTTAAAAACATTTCTGACATTCCGTGACATCGTGGTTTGGTTGCTGTATGTTATCACCAAAACGCAATATTAAGATCATTGTAGAATTACACAATTATCCTTTCTCATTTTGAGATATTTTCCACAAGTATAATAAGTTTAGTTTATACACTTAAAAAAAAGTTGACGGTTATTAGATACATATATTATAAATTCTAAATACATGAGCATTATGTACATTAGAAACGGTATATTGCATATGTGTCTTTTGTAACATTTTTAAATATATGTCTCAGAAAAATCATACTTAAACACCGTGGGCGACTCTCCTGATCTGACAGGCAGCTGGAGTTTCCAGCAGTATCAAAAGTTAGCCATTAAAAATTGTGGACCATTTAAACTGATTTGGATGCTAAACAACTAAATAATATGTTTTAAATGCATAACTGGTTTTTCATGCTTGGAGTTTTTGCATTATTTATGGAAGATGCA